TCTGGCACTATATCTGACAGTGTTTCTCTGCTATTCATAAGGTTTTCAGTGACTAAATATTCAGAAGTAGTTCATCATTCCTTTTTCCTAGTCTGTCTTCATCTGGAAGCTCATCGAAACCTGTCCACCATGGGTGACCCTCCTGTTTTTTTTTTTTAAATACTGGTGGCATAGCTTTCAGAATCACAGCAACTCACAAGCCACCAGAGTATGACAAACTGACTGATAAGTAGTGGTCAAACAACGTATAGCATTAGATAAATCTGCTGTAAAATATCTCTTTAAAGTGTTAATAGAGCAAAGATGTGAGTTTGAGAACTAAGGCACACCTGACCCAAGTCATAATATTTCCAATTACAATAAATGCATGGGAAAGCAGGACAGTGAATAAGGAACATGATAGAAGAATTGATGCATTTGAATAAAGGTGTTGGCCAAGACTATTGACTATACTATAAAACACATTTGAATAAAGGTGTTGGCCAAGACTATTGACTATACTGTATCCTGGACTGACAAAAAAACAAACAAATTCATCTTGGAAGGAGTGCAGTCAGAATGCTCCTTGGTGAAACTTGTTCCACATATTTTGGACATGTTATCAGGTAGGATAGGAGTCCTGCTGTGGCAATGTAGAATCAGCACTGGACTTTAAACGGAATGGTCGGCAATTCAAACCCATCAGCTGCTCCTTGGAAATCCTATACAGGATCGCTATGATCAAAGCTGACTTGACAGAATTTAACATTAACATCAGGAAGGACAAGTTGGCAAAGTCATCAAAAAAGAGGAAGACCCTCCCCCCAAACACACAAAGAGATGGCTTGACACTGACTGCAACAATGGGCTCAAACATGACAACAATTGTGAGGATAGCAGAGGACCAGACAGTGTTCTGTTCTGTTATGCATAGGGTCATTAGGTTGGTCGCCAAGAGTCAGAACTGATTTAACAGCAAGCACCTAACAGCAGGATTATGAATTTACCTGGAACACAACAAAGGTTGGCATATATTCTTATCCTTATTTTCTTTCACAATACTTAGTCTCTGAATTCTGAGTTGCATTTGAACATTTTACAAAGATTGTTATTTACATTTAAAGAACTATTGTATTCCAGGTTTTCCCAGGGTGATACAGTTTCGATTCACTTACCTCAGGTGAGTCCTCAAGCCTCCTTCTTTATTAATGTAGCCTCCCTACCCTGGTAGTGGAATTCTAAGAAAGCCTTAGTAAACTGGGATTGTCATATTTTTATTGTGCTGTCTTTTAACAGAGAAAGAATAACAGGTTTGATGTTGGCATTTTATACTCTCAGACTCTTGACAAACATAAAATAGCTAAACAAAGACGAACCTTTACTAAACCTCCCTTAATTTACTCTGGAGGAAATGTGTGAACACAAGCTTACTTTAAAATTCCAATGTGGAACAGAGATCAGGCTACGCGTTTTCTTGGTGATAAATCTTGGATAAACCAAAAGCTCCTTCTTATGATTTTATACTTTCTTAATCACAAGGACTCCTGGTGTGGTGCTGTGGGCTGATGCGTCAGACTGCAAAGTCAGTTTGAACTGCAAT